TGCTTTTGTTAAATTGAAAATAAAAACTGAGTAATATTTTGCTCACAAAGATGTAGGTGACTCCCTTGGAGCTATTTAAATAAGACGTCTTAGATGGTGAGAAAGAAATTACAGGAAGACACCTGGGAGTTGAGGCAACAGACACAGGAGCCCTTCAAACCTCTCCCTTTGTCTTTCTCTTTATTTCCCTTGCTTTAGGGTCAGGTGAGATAACCCCAGCAACAGGAGAATCTCCATTTAGGTCCAGAAAGAACAAATTGGTGACCTGGGCAGGAAGTAAGCCTTTCACTGTCCCTGTGGGTCTGCTTCCTTTGGCTGAGGCAACCTCCTGTGGGAGGCTTTAGTCATACTTCTTCCCATTCTGACCTGTGAAATGTTTTGGTTTATATTTTCATTTGATTTTTTTTCTTTGAGAATCATAGGTTTAGTTGAAGTTGGGCACTGCATGAAAAATGAAGTTTACATAGTTTATATTATGTACATAAACTAGTGATTTACATTGATTTACACATGATTGGTGCCTAATTTATTAATCAGCACACGGTATGTAAATGTGCTGAAGAGAAATCAAGGTTTTAAAAAAAGTTTTCCATAATATTCATAAACATTTTCGCTGGTGTAAATGTTAAACCTAAACCTAACGTTAGCACCAGTTTCCTTGCCAAGAGGAAAGTGATGTACATTGCTGTGTGAAAACAAATTCTTTCTTGAATTTCAGTTGGCGACATTTGAACAGCATAGCTACATGCAAATTAGAATAGTTTACTTCTCTTCTGCTAGTATACATATAAATGTAAACTCCATTTTGCATTTAGTGAGATGTTTACAGATATTATGCCAACTATGATGGAAAATTTACATCACTGGGGCAAATGTAGTCTTTGGAAGAGAAATATTTTAAATATTTAAGGAAGGAGTCTTCCAAAACGGGTTTGTGTCTCTTAACTCAAGGTCTTATCTTACCATTTTTGTGGTATGTTTAACATTTGTCTTGGAGATATTAATAGTTTTTGTAGGTCAGATATAGCATTGCACTTACATTTCTACAAAAAAATTTTTAAAAAGTTATTGGTAACCAAGACTAAATTCAGGCTAAAAGTTTATGAGGATGAAGAGAGAAATGAGGACATGATTAATCCCATTGAACAAGATCTATAAACAAATTTCTTTTAAGCAAACAATTACAAAATGGAAAAAGTGGGGCTCCATGTCACTAAATAAAACATAGCTCTTTTTTATTCTAAGACACCAGATTCAGTTCTTTTCTTCCTTTTAAGTTTAAACCATTATTCTTAATTTGTTTTATAATACATACATTATTGTAAATATAGTATCTGCAAAGATAAGATTAAACAAAAATACACACACATATATATTATTTTTTCCACAAATAATTTCAAAGCCTGCAAAGAACAAAATGAGAAGTTCAGGGAGACTAGCCAATAGAAACAGTCAAACCACAACCAACTTGGGGATGGAACCTACCACCCTGAAGTATGCAAGAAGCTAACAACTTGGTAAGTAATAACTCAATTTCATGCTGAGGAGTTTAGTTCTTGTGTGCAAAGGAGGTAAGTCCATTTTTGGAGGAGAAACAGATTTTTGTTTCTGTCCTCCAAGAACATGAAAATCACGAGTACTTTTACAAGGTCTCTATGAATAGCCCCGGTTGTCTGACTATGTAGTTAAAAAGAAAAAAGAAAAAAAAAGCCCAAGGCGAGGGAGAAGTCTGTCTGACTTAGAAGAGAAGGCAAAGGTCAATGGGAGAATTCTTCCTGATAGAAAATATTTCTACTTTTCCATAAGCCTTAGTACTTTTAGGACAGAGAGGGATTTTATGTCTCAAAACAAGCAATACTGGTCCTCTAACAAGGCAAAACTGTTTGATCAACAATCGCTCAGAGAATATAATTACAATTCTGCATTTGTAAAACCTAGAATAGTTCTCAGTCTTCAGGAAGTGCCCTGGGATCAAGGTCTTTTCTGTTTTTGTTAACTAAAATTTGGGCCTAATAATTTTGATTTATGAATGGTAGAGTTATATTTTGTATATAAGTGATATTGAATATATCAGCCAATCAGATTAATTGGTGCATTTCACTCCTCTCAGAATATTATTGCCAACCAGTTGGTGCCTTTCAGTACAGGGCTTTAAGCTTTGATTGCCAATGGACAAGATTCTTTAGGGGAAATACAACAATATGATTACCTAAATTCCAAGAAGTCTCATGTTGAGATTTGATTTCTTAGTGTAAGCCTGCAGGCTCCAACTTTGTCTTCCATTGCTTAGAGATACCCTCAAACCAATGAGATTCTAGGGACAATGTTTTCTCTGAAACAAGAGCCAGATGCAAATTTTTAAAATTCCCAAATCCTGCTAGAGATATGGGCAAATACCACATTTTAAAATACATGTTTAGTTATGTTTAACATATGGTCCGATATATTAAAACCAATGAAACAAATGGTGCTGACATGGCAAAGACTTGCCTTTCAGTGGGGAAGCTCCTCTGTAAACAAAGACCTTGTCCTTATGACAAGGTGGAGACAATAAGAAAGGACATCATTAAAGCCTGTTGACAAGTCACAGCATCTGTTCCTAAAACTGATACTAAACATCTGAATTAACTCCTACCTTTCTCTTCCTGCATAACCCTAAATTAGCATGTACTTTTCTAAAGCTTTCACTTGAATGTTGTCTGCCTCTTTACTATACGGAAAACACTTATGATCAAAGATGATCATCTTTTATTACTGTACTAAGAAGACTAAACTGTTCAGAGAAATTCCTGATTGTCAATTTGATGCTGCATAGGAATATGGCTCGCCTTCCCTGTATGTTACTAGCTACCTTCTTGGTTTAAGAATGTCTTTTCTGTCCTATGTTAGAATCTTCCATAAATACTCTTACACATCCCAAAGATGAATTTATCCTTCTGTTTCATGTCTAAACTTCACAATCATGAAAGAAGTCTGGGATAAGCTTTGAAAACAAACAATAGAATCCCCTAGAAGAAATTAAAAATGCTTCTCAGACCTTCCTTCCTTCCTTCTTTCCTTCTTTCCTTCCTTCCTTCTTTCCTTCCTTCCTTTTCCTTTCATCCTCTTCACTCCTTCCTCTGTCTTCTTTTCCAGTTATGAAGTTTGCCATTTCATATCATGTGACAGCTATTTCAAGGTTCCAAAACCTAATGAGCTACCTCATTTGACTCTGAAGGATTACATTCAATTATAACCTCAATAATAATCCTCTGTCCTTTCATAAACTCAACTACTTCCAGTGCCTCCTGTAGTCTAAGTGAGAGCCAGGTTGGTTTTCTGACAAAGATACCTACATGCAGAGAGCCAGCTCTCTCTGCAAGACCCTTCCTTAGAAAACCTTTTGGTGACGTGGTAATGCCAAGCTTTGTGGTAATTGTACAATATTTGCTTACATTTCTTACAAGTTGTCCATATCTCTTGGTTAAGGAACTAGCTCATATTTCAGTGTTAATGTCAAGATGACTCTTACAGCAGTAAATCTAAATAGAGCAAGGAAGTTGAATATAATGCAATTCCTTGTGGACTGACCTAGAATAATGAGAGACCACTATGAACAGTAGTGCTACAAACACCATCATTGGAACAGAAGGGTGACGATGTGGGGAACCAAACAGAGTATTAGTCTAGAACAGCAGAAAAAAAATCCGTAGAGGAGCACACGGAATGGATACCTTTTCATGATGGCCAATGCTTTGTATTAGAGCTCTGACAGTATCTCCAGAATATGGGTTGGGACTTGCCACATCTGCCTAGTTCTCTTGCTTTGCTCACTTTTGCTACATTTTATCTGAAATAGGAAACGATCTCTGCTCAGGGGAATCCATGGGGCAAACGCAGTGTTATTGGAAGATTCGGGAAGAGGCAAAACAGGGCTGCTTAGAATCTCCATGTGGTTCATCACTCTTTCATTGGGAGTTAACCCTTGGAGACCTTCCTGTTTCTAGGAATTTAACAACAGCTGCTCACTCTTGCAGCAGAGCAGGGTCCAGCCTGTAAAAAGCCAGGAAAAGCATGGATCCCTCAGACTCATGAAACGAGAGTGAGATCTGAAACCTTCTCTCCTAGGTCACCTCATCCACGTCACTGATTCCTTCTACTGTTTGCTCACTCCATCGATAGTAGGCACTTTCATTTACAGTGATATTCTGAGTGACTCCCGACTGGGTTCTGATGATGGAACTAGGAGGATTATGGGGTCCGGCCCTAGGAAGGGGCACGGCTTGGTTTGAATACACGCCGATGTCATGTGACAGCCATGGATGGGGGGCGGGACTCTGCTCCTTGATTCCTTCCCCGCCATCTCCCCCAGCAATTTATTACAGCCGCATCTCACAATTACAATGCAAGACAGTATCTACAGCACAATGAGTCTATGTACACATGAACCATTCCCTTGGCATGCTTTAGAGAGAGACACACTCACGCTCACACACATGTACACCCACATGAGAGCAAAAGACTTGAGCACACGCGCACAGTGGAGAAAATTAAAATGGCACTTCCTAGCATTTGCGGCATGACTAGTGCTCTGGGGAAGGGGTGAGGTGAGGAGAGGCCAGGGAGGGAAGGGGAATATCTGGGATGGGAGTGGGGGAAATAAAACACACTGGAAGGAGAGGGAATGATCTTTAAAGTTGGAGAGATAGTAGAGGCAGGAAAGCCAGAGAAAGGCTCAACACAGGATTCCATTGATAGTCTGAAATGGCTACAAGTCAGCTCAAATGAAAAACAGAATAAAAAGATTATGGAAATATAAATGCCAAAGGCAAGACCTTGTTTTTTTTTTTTTCCCACAGATGGAAAGGATGAAGGAAAGAAGGATAAAGTGTGTGTTGGGGGGTTAATATCCATCTGGTACTTGTCTTATTTTTACAACATCCGGATGTCCTTAGCATGATGTAGTCTTTACACAGCACACATTTGTTTAGTAGGTATAAACATATCCTGGTAGCAATTTCTCCATCCTGAATTAGACTTAATATTTTATTGGTGGACCGTAAAATTGTTTTAAATGCTGTATTTTCTTCTTCATTTTCTTATTTCCCCCTTCATGTATAAACACACAAAGTTGTGAAATAAACGGTCTCCCCCCCATCTTTCTCTCTCTCTCTCTCTCTCTCTCTCTCTTTTTCTCTGTATTCTGTGTGACGCATTTTTGTGTGTTTTTTAATTATTTTTAAATTTTTATTCTATTAACATTTGCTGAGAAGGCAGAGCAGAGATGCTGCCAGCAGCCACAGTGGTACGGCCAGACTGATGGATCCATTTATTCCTCTCACCGACCCAGGTCCTGCAGAGCAAAAGAGAGAGAAAAGAGAGTGAATTACATGTGGCCTATTCCATGTTACAGTTGACTGCTGACCATCACTGAGGTAGGATCTAACCAGGTATGAGTAACTCAAAGTTGGCGCATTTATGTGCAACACAAGAAGATCTTGAAACCTTGCCTATGTCCTTCTCCTCTTTGGGCTACGAGTTTTGTAAGGGGCGTCATTGGCTGAAACACTTCTAAATACAGGATGCTCTTGCCAGTGAACTCCCTAAATCGGCTGTCTCCAATGTGTCTGATGGTATAGCTCCTATTCACCTAGCCACCTCTGCATCCTCTACCTTGCATAGCCTTGTGATTCTGATCATTACGATTCTGAGCATTGGTGAGGGTCTTGCAACCAGACACTGAGTCTCCAGCCAGGTCATCACAGCATTTCCATCAATAAAACATGGAACCAATCCGTGACTCCCTTCTGTCCCAAGGGAGAAGCAGTCATTATTTTTTAATGCGGAGGGGAATGGTTTCAAAGTAACATTTGTGGCTGGATGGCATCTTAGCAAGGTATAGTCTCAAGGGACCACAAAGGGATGATTTCCTCCAAACTTTTCATGTGTCCCTTTAAAAAAAAAATAAAACAAAGACAACAATAAAAAAATAAACAAATCTAGAGAGGTTAAGAGACAGGTCCAAAATTGGTACAGAACTGAGATTTGAGCTCACCCAGATGAGCCTAGAATGACAGTCTGTGTTTCCCGTCGCCACCCTAGTTTTCCCAGTGAGGACACAATTTGGGGGATGTGGGTGTGGGTCTGAGAGGGAGAGTAGGTTGAAGAGGAAGGTGAAGAAGGAGCTTGTATGTCAATGAAAAGAGAAGGGTTGGGGCAGAAATTGTAGGCCTGGTCAACGAGCTTTGTTTATTTCATTTTCTCCTTCTGTATAGTTTTGCTCATATAACATTTGGGGGGGGGGAGAAAAAGTTAGTATTTTTTTTACTATAGTAACATTTGGATTTAAGACTGCACACTTAAATAATGCTGTTCAAAAGAGAAACTGGTGTGGTGTGACTATAATTATGGGTCACTAAAGTTTTGAGGGCACATATGCAGGTTGATTGATGTGTGTTTGTGTGTATTAAATTATGATGGTTTGCAGGAACTGTGGAAGCATCCTCGGGTATGTGAATTTTCCCAAAACTGTTTATAAACATTCTCAGTTGGAGGTAGAATAACAGGGAAAAATGTCGACTTCAAGAATGGTCTCCTAACCTATGTTTTATGTAAATAATAAAAACAACAGCTACAACAAAGGAAAATCAACAAACAACTATACAGCACTTACTACAAGGTATAAATGCTTTATAAACATACACAAGCTACCACACTGTGAGGTGGGTACTATGATGAAATCTACTTGACAGTGAAATGACAGAGATACAGAAAGGCTGACTCCACTGTCCAAGCTCACACAGCGTATAAGTAGAGGAACTGGGTTTTTACTCAGGTGTCTGGCTTCAGAATCTCTGCCTGTCACCACTACACACAGTGAAGGGGTACTTTTAGTCTCTTGCCAAACATTTAGCAAATGAAACTTGGGTCTAAAGAAAATAGCCAGCACACACACAAAAATAAAGAGGCAACTTATTTTTGCAAAACTGATTTTCAAAAGGCCTTTTTTTTTTTTTTTTTGCTAGAATGCCTTTTTGAGAATATTAAATTGTTACTTAATATAAAAATTTGAACAAATACAAATGTTTAGTAACATAGTTACTGTATAAAATGCACTGTTTCATTTGTAAAGCTATGAAAACGCAGAATAAAGAAATACTCAATTAACTAATTCTCTTATTTTATAAGTGGGTGTAGCACCATATTAGCAAAAAGGCACTTTAACTGCTTTCAGGTCCATGCCTTTCATAAGGAATTAAGAGTCAATGATAGTAAAGCACCTTCATAGTAATTGCTGACCAGACATTTCAGTTCAGGTGTCCTGAGTCTCAGCTCACGTCCTTCCTAAACAACTCCTTGTGTGTCCCTCTCCCACTCTCACCCTTTTTGGACTTCTGGGACCTTCAAGCTCTCAGTGGCAACCTCCAAGGGCTTCTGACCTGGTGGTAATGTTATTTTTCTAAGCTTTTCATTTCTCTGTATACACTAGATGGCATGAGTTCCTGGGCACATTTGTTTGTATAGATGTAGCAATAAGGTTTTCAAAACAGAGAAAAACTACACAAAAATCAAGGCCATGCAGGGTTCAGAAAGAATGATTTCTGTTTTGCAAGAGGGATAGTGTGAAACAGAAGCTTTTAAGAAAGAATCCAATTTGGCTTATTTCCTTCACCTCAGGTTTCCGTGCTAGGACAGGCTAGATTCTCTCTCAGACATCCTGCTGCTAATTGGTGTCTGCGGAAGGCAAACAAGACTATCTTATCATTTTATTTGATGGGACTAAATATCCTAGAAATTCTATCATTGAAAAATATACTATATTCATATATGAGTCGGGCTACACATCTAACATCCTTGCTAATGCCTGTATGCATATATATAGATACACACACAAAGAAGTACATATGTTATATACATACTCAAATATACACACATACAATAGGCACACATATTATTGGTCTCTTAGTACACATAACTCAAAATTGTTACTCATATATGCACACACACACAATATACACACATATTACTGGTCTCTTAGTACACATAACTCAAAATTGACTGCTATTTTCACATGCTATTCTATGTTATCATCGGGAATCCTGCTATGACTATGTTAATAGCTTTTGCTTTTATCCTTAATAGTATTATCATATACACTAATGCACCACATGACATCTTGGTTAAAGGATGGAACATATATACAACAGTGGTCTCATAAGATTACAGTATTGCATTTTTACTGTACTTTTGCTATGTTAAGATGTTTTTATATACACAAATACTTACCATTGCCTACAGTATTCAGTACAGTATCATGCCATGTAGGCTTTTAGTCTAAGAATAGGCTGTACCATATAAACTAGGTATGTAGTTAGCTATACCACTAGGTTTGTGTGAGTACACTCTGGGTTCACATAATAGCAAAGTCACCTAAGGATGCAGTTCTCAGAATGTATTCCAGTCAATAAATGACACATGACTGTATTTAAAATGCATTTTGTGCACCTGTTAAAGATATCTTCATCGCTATCAATTATTATTTATTAAGTGCTCTCATATAGCTATTTAATGTGCTTATATGACTCACTCTTTTCATAATTGGTTTTGAGAGTAAATAAATAGGCTTAAAAATACAAGGGTGATCGTCGGGAAATCATCACAAGTGTGTATGCAATTATAGATATATGTGACTGCATAGGAGACTACTTCAGTTAATGGCTATTTCAGGGAAGAATAATCAGCAAAATCATTAATTATGTTTTACTTCAGAGTTATGAAATTTCTGCTTATTTGTGGATATGCAAATGATAAATCATATTTCCCACGCCAGATGGCCAGGCTCAGCAAGTGCTTTCATATACTGACAGATATAATGAAGGCAAGAGTCTGCAAACATAAATTAGCCTTAAGAATAGATGGGCAAATAGAGACACAATTCAAAAATTTGCTACATGATTTTCATATAACAGACAAAAATCATATCTTGCTTTTTAACCACATCTATATATGTGTTATATGTACACACATACTAATATGTGTGGTATCTGGTAAACATTCAGTAATTGGTATTATTATTATTAATGCAGAAGTTTGGATTACAGAAAAAAGATGAAATACCATTATGACTCCAAGGTACTGGTTTGTGAATTGGGTCAAGGCTTTTAAAGTTGACCCTAAGGGGCAAAATTCAGCTGCAGCAACACTGCAAACCGTGAGTCAACACACCAGGTCAAGGTTTTCAACCCTAGAGATAGAATAAGTAAGATTCTGGATCACAGTGAATGCTGGATTGCACTCTGCCATAACAATAAAAGGGAATTTTTATTAAGGGCAAGATTGATAAAAACATTGTGAAATTGAGGAAAATGAAAAATTTTTGGCAAGTCTCTACACTACAAATCTAATTCAGGATCCGGAGCCAATTGATTTATATTTCAGTAAAATCTCAAAGAAAGCACCAGGTGGTTTTTTCAATACCTGTTTTAGAGGACACATGTGCTTGGAGAAACATTTGAATTTGTAATCCAAACCTGGCCACCAGTTTTCTGTTGCTTCTCCTGAGGTCCCATTTCCTGGATTTGGGACTAAATTTATTCAAAGTGTCATTAATCATACTCTCCTTGGGTATTCCTTTCAGTCACGAAGACATCAAGGTAAATGATAATGTTATTCCTGTGCTGATTTCAGCCATATAAGAGAAGGCCAGAGAAGTTTAAATTTGGATTCTCTTTTAGAATTGTTAAGGGCTGATCGAGTGACTGGAAGTAAAACAAAAATCTAAACAATGTATACAATTGTTAAACAAAGGAGAACATTAATCAACAGAATTTCCTAAAAATCTCCCTTTGATATTATCTAGCCTAGCCGACTCAGGCATGTTGGTGTCCCTGGAAGCCAGGTTTAGAGGGAAGCCTGATAAGATTGACTTTGGCGCCACCTGCCATTTTTTTCCCGCCACTACAACATCCTTGGGATGAATGAATTGGAGATTAAAGTATATAATATCCAAATTGGAGCAGATTAGAAGGGAAATACAGCAGTCCCCCTTTATCCACAGTTTTGCTTTCTGTGGTTTCACTTACCTGAGGTACAGTACAATAAGATATTTTGAGAGAGAGAGAACATTCACACAACTTATTACAGAATACTGTTATAATTGTTGCTATCATTATTATTGTAGTTAAGCTCTTGCTAGGCCTAATTTATACGTGACTCCTTATCATAGGTATATATAGAAAAAATTATAGTATATACAGGGTTCCATACTATCCACAGTTTCAGGCATCCACGGGAGTCTTCACTGGGAGTCTTGGAGCGACATCTCCTGTGGACAAGATGTGGGCTGCTGTATTGATGTTTTCTTTGAGCCATGGGTCTTAGAACTAAATCTAGGTTCCTCCTCATAACCCTTTGTGTATTATGCCCACTCTCCATTAAGGGAAATTTTGATAAGGCTAAAGGATTCTCACAATAAGGTTGGAATCATCGCATCTTTTCCATGAACATAGCATCAAGTATTTTGGCACACAAATTTTGAAATTTTAGGCTTTAGAACTCCTTTGTGACACTGGCTGCTTTTTTTGGTGGTCTTTAAAGACAAAAGATGCTATGCTCTGTTTCTTCATCCATACCAAAGCTCTAAGGTATCACATATAACCCTAGGCACTTAAGATTCAAATATATTTGGTAATCATGGCATTGGGAAGAAAAGAAAGACTGAAAAGAAAAATATTGTATACCTTCTTGAAGGCCTCAAGTGATCGTGTTTTCAAGTATACATTCCTGACTGTTGCTTCCCTGCTTCTTTCTATGAGGACCTGCTAGAACTGGCCATAAACAAGGTGCTACCCTTTCTTGGGAGTAAGCCACGGAGCGCTCATAATCTCATGGCTCTTGATCCCTGCTAGGACCTGAGTCCCACAATAATAGGTTTTCACCATTGAGAATGATTTTGGTTGTCTTGCCTTTTTGAGACTCAGACAGGGAGATGTCTTTATATGGGACAATTGTAATCAAGTAGATGACCTGAGGGTGTAAGGAAGGTGGTGTCTGGCTACACAGGTGCATCTGTGCCTCTAGTCTATGGATACACTCTGTTAAGAATTATGATTTATTAGATTTATAAAGAGGACTCCTCTGAATTTGTAACTGTTTGAATTTTAGCGTCCATTTTTTGAGGCCAACAAGAGACTGTAACACGGCCTTTGTGTCTCTTCTGAGAGCCCTGTCATTGGGCAGTGAGCATTTCCAAAAATATAGACCTTCCAGAATGAACTATGGATACTTAACATAAGAACAGTAGGGGGGCAGGAAGCGGAGCAGAAAATAATTTTTAGTTACAGAGACTTAAAAATGAGTAACTGTCAAAGGCAATAAAGAGGACACGAATTAGATCAGGGTCTTTTTTTGCAAATAAGAAAGCTCACAATTTGAGAAGAATAGTGCCAAACGTGTTATGGAAATTATTATCACAAATTATTCAACTGAAATGAACTCAAGTCTCTAAGACCACAATACATTGCTGCAAAATTTTAATTTTGACATATAGAAGGTAATCAGAAATAAGAACCATACCTTTTTGCTTGAAGTGCACGGTGGTGCCAATTTCTAAAAAAAGAAACATTAAGCAAAACAAAACAAATAAAAAAATTCTTTATCAATTGAGAATAAACACCAAAGGTAGTCTGGTACTCTCCACTGAAAGGAGAATAAGAGAAAAGAAGGAAAGAACATTTTTATAGGAACAGCTATTGGTAGAGATTGAAAGAAAGGCAGATGGAAAGATATCATGTTGGAACACATATTGTGCAGTTGGAGGTGGTAAAAAATGATTTGCAACTACCAATACTTGATGCTACGTGTTATGTGTGTTGACAAGCATAAGTGCTCTGAGTGTGGAGCATACAAAACTCTAGACTTCAAGCTAGTGGAACCATAAAATGTGTCTGATCCCCCACCCCATTCTACCATTTTGCCCCTGGTTCACTCCACTCAAGCTAATTGGTCTTCTTGCTGTTCTTTCAACAGGGCAAGTCCATTTCACCCTTAAAACCTTGGTCCTTGGCAGCTTCATCTCCTTGGAGTGTTCTTCCCCCACATCTTTGTATGGATCACTCAGTCCCTTCATTCAGATTTCTGCAGAAATGTCACCAACTCAAGGACTCCCCTTCAAAAATAGTACCATCTGTTTTCTTCTCTATTCCTCTACCTTTCTCTACTAATCTGAATAGCACCCATCTCTAACCTGACATTCTGCTACGCATTTACTTGCTTGTAGTTTGTCTTCTCCATTAGAGTATATGCTCCATGAAGGCAGCAACGGTGTCTGTTTTGTCAACCCTTGTGTCCCTAATGCTTAGATGAGAGCCTGGCAGGCAGCAGGTAATCAGTAAATACTTGTCAAAAGTATAAATAAATCACAGGGTTGGAAGAGCCCCTATAGGTCAAATATTTGGCTTTCCCTTTAAGTATCTTTATCAAGTAAACTGCAATGCTCTTAGGTCTTTAGAAGCAAATACGTAAATTTTCTATAGGATATCGCTTTGAATATCAGGACCAACTTAACGAGTGGCCCCATAGAGAAGCCCAAATTGGCTGTGGGATACAGATTTTCTTCTCTGTGACCACAGGACATAGTTCTCCATTACTGAGTAACATGTTTTCACTAAAGAAGTAAAGTGACTGAACTGTTCTCCCGGAGACAGCCTTTTGAATTGGACATGTGGTCACCTTACAGTCCTGCTTGAAATTTATGCATGCTTTTTTGCGACTTTTTTTCGACAGTTCCCTGACCCTCTCACCTCCTCGCTGTCTATCATCTCTGCTCAGCATCTCTAACCTTCCTTTATCCTTCTTGGGACTATGTCTTCTCTGCCAAAATGCCTATGGCCCCCATGACATTTCTACTGGAAGTCTCACTTATCCTTTGGAATTTGATTGGTACTTCCACAGGGAAGTCTTCCTTGGTCTCCTTGATAAAAGTAAATCCCCTTAGGATAAGTGCTATTCTCCCTCATAACACTCATCTTGGTTTTAACTTCAAATGTATTTGTCAGTGGCTTATGCCTGTAATTTCAGAACTTTGGAAGGCCAAAGTGGGAAGATCCCTTGAGGCCAGGAATTCAAGACCAGTCTGGGAAATATAGTGAGATCTCATCTCAAAAAAATGATGCTTGATTAATGAGTTTCTTCCCCCTGGACTTCAAATTGCATGAAGGCAGGAACTGTGTCTGTTATTGATTACTATTGTTGCCTGGTCCATGCATGGCTGGCACTCTGAATGCACAATGGGCCACAAGAGAAGATCTCGAATCACTGAACTATGAGAAAAATAAATATTCACCAAGCACTTTCCTAGCCTAAAACAGAAAATTTGAGTAGCTAAATTTTTTATTCTCAGATTTGGCACAAAGGGTCAGATCTTTGAAATTAGGTTTGTAAAACTTCCAAGGCTCAGTGCAACCTACTAATCATCTTCATAATAGGTTTTCTATTTGTTCATTCAAAGTACGATGCAAGAAGAAGCCCTCCAAAAGCATGCCATTCTCTGGTGTTCTTAAGATGGCTGTAAAGAAGGGCACGATTGTTCTAGTGTCTGAAGTCTAGAAATGTTTGCCTACAATTCAGTTTTAGCAAAACTTGTGCTGGCCACACTATTCCTAAAAGCTAACTGTGTCTGAACATAAGGAGAGCTTCCCTATACTGGTCAGATATGGGAAAAGAGCCCCCAGCCTGAAGGTTTTTTGGCATCAAGAGTGCCGGTTGAGCTCAAGGTGCACTTCTGAGGATGCTCGAAGGCATCAGCACCTGCCGTCCTGTCTGTGAAGTCCATCACTTTCAGTTATTTCTAACTAACAATTGCAACACACTACATGTTCATACAGGAAGATGAGTGAGAATTTGTTTCTCATAGCAGAAGCCAGCAACTGATGCCACTCTCATCCTGAAAGTAGAGCCAAGTTCTTTCAATTCATAAAACAGACATCTCTACCTGTTGACAACCTTCTCATACATCTCATCTGACCACTGATGTTGCAGATGTGTGTTAAACACACTGTCACTTGTTTCCTTTCATGACACCTGCTTTGACAACTTTTCTTTGAAATTGACATATTAAAAATTGTTGAAAAGGCATCGTGGAGAATATGCTTGTCATGATACGGGGAAACTGAGGCCCAGAGAATTCACACAGAAAGTGAAAGGCTCTGCTCTTGTGCAAAGTACAACTTTCCTTCTTCCTTGTGTCAAGCCTCTTGGTTTATCATACTTTAAAATTTATAAGAACCCCTCAAGGCCACAGAACTTTACCCTTTACTCAAAGTCACCTAAATCCTTCAGGAGATCATCTTCCAGTAAGAACACTTTCTGGTCCACAGTCTTCATGAGAATGATTCCAAGTAATTCTTCAGGAACCTGGGTAGGCAGGAAGCCCAATTATTCTGCTTAAGTGATCTCTTCACCTCTCTTTGCCTCGGTTTCATCATCTGAGAAATGAGTTTACTTAACATGCCCCTTGTAAATCTGTGCTCCGATGAGATAAATTAATCCAATCTGTACTGACAATGGTGTGTTCAAAAATAAGTGGTCAGTTTTGTGGTAAAAGTCCTTCTAGAGAGAATTATTAGTGCAATTTTAGTGAGGAGAGAAAAAGATATCTTAACAAGTAAGTCGTGGCAGTTCGAGTCCAAATGATAAAATATATTTTTAAAAAACCTTTTGCAAGCCTAGGCAACATAACCAGACCTTGTCTCTACAAAAAAAAAAAAAAAATTAACTGGGTGTGGTAGCACATGCCTGTAGTCCCAGTTACTGGGGAGGCTGAGGTGGAAGGATCTCCTGAGCCCAGGAAGTCGAGGCTGTGGTGTGCTGCGATCATGCCACTGATCTCCAGCCTGGTTGACAGAGCGAAACCCCTGACTTAAAAAAGAAAAATCTATTGCAGTAATGGTAGAAAAACACTGGGAGATCCTAATACAAAAAAGTGATAGGAAAACAGATTGATCAGGCAGCATTTTGCCAAGAGAAGGCCAGCAATCTTGACATGGACCTGTCACTGGCATAGGTTTGGATAAGAGGCTACATGTTCTAGATGGTTATTTTAGGGGACACTCCTCAATTAATCAACTAAACAGAATTGATTAAAAGAACAGATGGAAACATTCCTCAATATTCCACTCTGCTAATAAAATAGCAGAAAAATTCACATACAAAATACACATTTGCTTGAAAGAGCTTGAAAAAGCAAAATAAGTTACCAATTAAATCATAGATACTCCTCCCTAGACCTGTAATAAATCAACTTCTTTGAGAAATACTAAAAATTTCAAAACCTGGAATTCATTTGTCCTTAGGAAAAGAGAATGGAATGCTTGTTTTGTACCATGATTTCTTATGTGTCCTTTTCTGTAGGGACAGCATGTTCTCTTTTGAGGAGCAAAACCCTGAATGTTTTTGAGCCTCTCCGAAAACTTGGTTATGTGCTGCCATCTTGTGGAAATACTAAGACATATTCCTATGTGCTGTCTAAAGGAATCGCCTCTGTCCACCAGGTGGCAACAGTGGGAGAAATAAAAACATTTTTTCAGTCTCAGACTAGTCATGAAATGTTGCTCTTCAAGAAGAGTCTTTTGCATTAAGATAGACAAGAAAAAATTTTTTTTTTCCTCTTTATCAAATGAAAAATATTCTTCCTTTTCTAGTGAAAATGCAATCTCATATTTTGAATAAAACTGCCTTGCTAGGAATTTTATTCCTGTAGAGATTCCCAGGGCACACTCACTAGGACATACCTGGAACCTATTATTTCCATGCCTTTGAGGAAGACTTTTCCCCACGTACTGATCTTGTTTCAGCAAATACACTTAACAAGTAAGCATGGCAGTGCAGCCCTGAAGTATAATATAAAAAAATAAATCTGCTGCAGCAATACAAGACACAACATTAGTGGATTCTAGTATAGAGAATTGTTCTAGATATTCTCTGAAAGCATTATTATTATATGCTTAGATATTAGTTCCTGATAAAATTTTACAAGGAGGCAATGGGGAAAGGATTTAATACTGGAAAAGGCAAGTGCCTTGACAAATTTATTTATGCTAATCTGTCCTTGACTTTTTACTTTCAGATTCATTATACCCAGTCACATTGGGACACATTTACACCATTAAAATCAGTTGGTTCAGCCTCTCACATTGGCATAGATACTATGTCTCCCTTGTTCACGATTGTATCCTCAACTTGCTATTCCTCTAACATAGAAGTGCCCAGTAGATTTGCTGAACAAATGTCTGAATGCATAAATAGATGAATGAATGAGAGAGCGAATGAATCAATTAATACCTCAGGAGCCACCCTAGCTAAGATTCTAAGGAGGGGAGATTATATTCTCTTTTTGGAACCATAGTGCCTTAACCCACAGGCAAGATTATTGTACGGAATTCACAGTCATTTGAAGTGCCATATGGGACCTGGAGGTCCTTGCATCACTTCCCAAATCCCGGCAGGTAGAAAATTTTCTGGAGGACTGAACTTCATTTAAAAATATCCTCACAACTAATAAACGTGTAAATCTTAACAAATAAAAACCCAAGCTTCTTTTTCGTTCAAAG